CAGGAAAATGGAGGCAAAGAAATCGTTAAATAGGTTAGCTTTGTCATTTGGTGTGATTCGCAAATCTTCACCAGTTAGACAGACGCTATCTGTCATATTCACAGCTCCAACTACCTACTGCAAACCCACCGAGCCCAGTTCATCCCCCTGGAATCCCACCAGGGATGAAACCAGTCATTGTTGTCATCTGGGTTGAACAGGCATGCTTGGCCTGATGGTTGGGAGGTGTTTGTGAAGGCCCCGAGCAGGAATGGAAGGACATGCCCTCTCCCACAGCTGTCTTTGCTCAGCGTTGAAAGCCAGAGGGCAGTCAGTGGGTTAGAGAAGGCACGTTTTTTTGCATAGATACCTTTGCAGAGTACAAGCCAGGTACACGCAGCTCAGCCCGGTTGCTAGCCTGATGCCATCTCCTCTGACAAGGATGAGGGAAGCGGAGAGGAGCAGCTCGCCTTTACGCTTTTCTGGTGAGGGAAGCCTCAGCCAGTGAGGGCTGGTGATATTCCTACAGCTGGCCAGGGAACCAGGCTTTTGGCATCCAGCATAGTGGGGAGGAATATATGATGTAAGCGGTGAGCTACCTTCTCCACCCTCAGTGAAAGCTTGGCCCTGCTGAACTCAGTGGTAGGCCTGGAGTTGACTTCACTGGGGGCAGGATTTTGTGCCAGGTACGAGCAGTGCAGCCCATGCCTTCATTTGCTATCAAGTGGGCATGTGAAAAGACTGCACCTTGTGTGCCAAAGGGGAGGGGTCAGCAGGAAAAATGACTTGGGAAGGGTGTGAATGACACGCCCTAGAAGCTCTTACTATTTCCCAAGCCTCTGGTGTTTTCCCTTCCCCACCTGCGCTTCTCTAGCGCCCAGAGCATGCCAGTGACTCATGTTTTGTTCATGCACCGGTTGCTGAGTAGGTGTTGCGTACACCCCCTCCCTGTTCAATCCTCACGCTGCTGCTTAGCTCAGTGCTGGGTCAGGCAGAGGCATGTCAGTTCCGGGCTCGTGTTTATAACAGCTCCAGTTTGGGCTTGGGTCCCTGCAGGGGAGTGTGGGATCACAATCCGCAGTCTCAGGGGCCTTTAGGCCTGTGGAACTTGAACAGAGTCGGCAACAACCCCTGGCATGGGCTCTCGACTTGCCCTCGGGATGGGGATGCTTCTGGGAGCTTCGGTTTGTGGTCCCGCTGAGGGTTTTGCATGGGGGTTGTGAAGCCACCATTGCCCTCCATTCCTCGTGCAGTTGACTACACAGGTCTAGACAAAAATAATGCCCCTTCAGGTGTTTCCCAGCTTGAGTTTCCTCACTGCTCGGGTTTGGTGTCCTGGAGAGGCTCACAGTCTTCCTGAATAGCTCCTGACTCGCTTTCTGTACAAGGGAGTATTTCCAGTCCAGCTTGCCTTCTCTGATCATGCCTGGTCCTACAGCTAACAGCAGCAGGAGTGCAAGTCTCTTCCCCAGCGCTGCCTGTGCACCCCCGTGACGCTTCCCCTTTCGCCCTTATGAGTCCTTTTACGTCTCCCCATTGGCACTGTGGGTGTTTTATGCTGTTTAGTCAGTTCTCTCCTCTCCTTCTAGACAGGCCAGGGACATGGCTTTCCTGCTTAGCTTGCCCATTATCCAGCTGGGGTAGAGGGGGAGATTTGACTCCATTGTGCCACCTCTGGAAGACTTGACACCTCCCGTAGGCAGCCAGACTGGAGGCACCTCCCGAATTGCTCCAGTCATGCAACCGCTTCCTCACTCTGCAGATCCACCAGAACTCGCATGCTGTACATATTTCCCCAGCTCATGCCAAGATGCTCTCAAAAGCTGGTGCCCACTTGTAGTGTCCCCTCCCCTGGCCATCTGATACTTGTTAGGAGGCCTTTGTGAATGAGGTGGTTGGGTCTCATTCCTGCGGGTTTTGGACAAGTTGCCGTGTAACAAAAGACACTGCCCAAATAGGGCATGAGTTGGCCCTGTTGCTGGCAGCTTTGGCAGAGGACCAGGGACTGCTTGGGCCATCGAGACTGACTTCTCCCAGAAACGCCTTCCAGGTCCGGCGCAAGGCTCACAGAGGAAACTGCTGTTCTGGGTCCCCAGATAAAGGGCTGGAGGCTCTGGGGCTTGCGGTCCACCGCTCTGCTTTCTTAAGGAGGGGAAGGAAGTTTATATAGGTGTCAGCTGTCTATAGGAAGTGGGTGATTTTTCCAAGCTTGGAGGGAGAAAGGGTTGAGAAAAGTGAGGAGGAACGGACACGTCTCACTCTTACCATGCTCAGGGGAACAGGGGAGCAGAGCTCACTAGCTCCTCACTGAAATAGCTGAGCTGACCTGAGGTGCCCTCAACTCACTGAGGCAGCCTGTAGCATTTATTTCAGAGGCGTCAGGACGGTGCATGCCCCAGAGCATTTGCTGTTGCACAGAAGCTCTCCAGGGGTGGGGCTGGCACTGGAAGTGCACTGATATACTTGCTTCCCTGAAGTACCCAAAGTCTTGGAACAGGCCAGTACTAACTTTCCCATCACACCGAAAGACCCCATCGCTGCTACCGTCTGTTCCCGTTCTGTTTGAAGAGCTGTGGGCACACCTGCCCCCCAGATCTTACCTTCCCTGCAGCTGCATCTTCAGGCTGGTCCCCGAGTGCACTGAGAGCATAGAGCGAGAGGGGTATTGCAGGCCCATGCATGCAAGGTTAAGGGGACACACTGGAGCATTCATCAGTTCTCCCAGCCCCATTCTTTATGAGCTGATTTTTGGCCTTGATCAGCTTCCTTGTTCCTGATGCAAGGTCCAGTGCCAAAGGGACCGCTCCAGGATCTAACTGGAGCATGAAACGAAAACAGGCTTCATTTAATTGCCCCTGGCAAGGTGTCTCTGCTGTTTTCACAAGGGATTATTTCCTTGTTATCGTTCCTTGTCAGATAGATTTGCAAGCTTCTCCGTCCATTAAACAAGTGTACCTTGGTGGCACTGGTTATAGAGCTGCTGATGAGCACCAGGCTCCTGGTGGGTGAGTTTGTGGGAGAGGTTTAGGATTTAAATATGGCACCCACAAAATTGCAGGGGCTTCACTACTAGGCATGACGATACCTTTGGCTCCTGGGTTGTAGCATAGGACCACCCAGCTGCATCTCTCTGGCCTGGCTTGGAAACCACGTGCCATCAGGAGCCCAGAGAGCCTGGCTCTTGTTTGCAAAGCTAGCACAGCAAGATCTAGGGATTGGGTGAGGTGCCTAATTATCAGCAGTTTTCCATTTTTAACTTTCCTGAGAGTTATTTTGCCTGCCCTGTTGAGATGCAACGAACAGTGATGTTGGACATTTATCATGAAGAAAACAGCCATCTATTACAAGCCTTTGAAATGCTAAATGTCAACGTTGGGCATCACTGCGAGAACAATATGATTATACAGATAATCCTGTGCTGTTTCTCGTTACAGAGTAGTTTGTCCAGGGCTCTGAAGCACATAGGTCAGGACTTTCCCAGCTGACTAATTAGGCGCAAATTGCATTGTCTTTTAGAGTGTGTGCACATATGGAAACAGCTAATTATGCTTTAACAGATGATGAATTTGCCAAAGCTTTTTGTGCACAGGTCAGTGGGTTTCAGCGCGCTGACCAGCAAGACCATAGTGATGATGATTTGTCCCGGTGACTAGTTAACCAGATATCACTCTTCTCACCTGTTGTCTGATAGTTAAAGCAAGGGACTGGGAGCAGAGACTCTGGGTTTCTACCACTGGCCATCTGTGCAGGCCCCCCTTCAGACCTCTGTTTTCCCAGTTATGATATCGAGATGATAACCCTGACCTGAGACTCACCTGCTGATACAGCAGTCAGATGGGTTGAGGATGCAGAATCTGCCGATAACTCTTTGCCCTTCTCTGCCGCCTGCTAACTGAGGCCTCCCAGAGCACACGACAGACACGAAGGCATTTGGCCTCCCATTCCCAGTGTCGCCACTTCATCCAAGGACACTGCCTAGCAGCCTTGTTTTAACACCCCCCCTGCCTAGGAGTTGGTCCCACTAAGCTGTGCCATTACCGACAGCTCCCCAAAGAGAGAGGCTCTCAGACCCGTGCCCCTTATCCTGCTCCAGGCGCCGAGTGTCCCTTCTGCTCGGTTGTCACTGGAGACACCCGGCCTCGAGGGTCAGGGGAGTCCTCCCAGCCCCTGAATCAGCGCCCCGGACTCTCACCGACGGGCTGCCCCGCAGACGCTCAGAAGCGTGCCCGACCCGGCTGCCAGACGGCCCCGCTGGGCCGGCACTCCTCAGGGAGCTCGCCTGGGCTGCTGGCTTCTCCCCATGCTCAGCGCTAACAGGAAATCTGATGTCTCCCCGATGCAGCAGTCCACGAAAACGCCTTCATCCTCTTTATCACTTCGGCTTTGGGTCACATGCTCCTGACGTGCGTGCTGTGGCGAATGACTAAGAAACACACAGTAAGTCCCGAGGTACAGTAACCTTTCTCTTCTCTACTTCCATCACTGCTGCTTGTGCGGGGTGACGGGCGCTTGCCTGGTGGAGGGCAGGGTTTGTGGCTCTGTCTCTGTCCCTCTCTCTTTGGGTGTGAAAGGCTGGCAAAACAGCGGGACCGTACAGAGAATGAAAATTGAGCATCCGCCCAGTTGACAAACATCGACTGGGCCGGGCTGAAGGGTTTCAGGGCCTGCCTTCTCCTCCTCAACTCTGGGCCACAGGCCAGAGCCGGTGTTCAAGACGGCACCTGGTTGAGGTCTCCTGTGTCCAGCTGTTTTCCCTCCCCTACTGCACTCGGTCTGTGGGGGTCTGCCTGCCTTTGAGGGGGGAGTCTGGTGGCTTTGCTGGCAGGGACCTGGTGTCTGGGGAAAGGGCGAAGCCTCCCGGTTTTGTACGGGGAAGCGGGGAAGGAACTTGCCACCTGAGGGCAGTGTTGGCCAAGCAACAACCTGTGCCCGGTCCTGCTGGCTAGCTCTGTGCATCAGGGCCTGGACGAGGCGTGCCAGGGATGGACCCAGCCTCTGCTCCCTTCCAGCACAGGGCAGGGGACGCGCTGAGAGTCGTCTTTGGAGCAGAGGAGCAGCGCCAGCTTTGCCTGAGAGCTGGGGGAGCTGATGCTCCGGGTGGTTACGTGGCTCGGCCACGGGCTATGGAGCTAGCGCAAGGGCCTGGGCAGCCTGGCACTGGTCTCCTGCACCGACGGCCCATCTCTGCCATCCCTGCATTTCTCTGGACCGTGCTGAGGGTTGCGAGCCACTGGCTGCAGGCAGGTGGGGCTGTCGCTTTCCTGACAGAAGTCTCCTGGGACCCACGTGCTTCTCTGCCCAATGCAGCTGAACTGGGGCAGAGGCAACGGGGCTGCAGTGGAGTCTCCTGCCCTCTCCCATCAGTCGTGCCGGTGGCCCGGCTGCAAACGGGTCCCTCGCGGCAAAATCTCGTGCCCCTCCCTTCTTGTTTGGATGCCTCGAGGCAGCCTGATTTGTGCAGGGATGGTGCCCCGCCTGCACGCCAGCCTAGCAGGCCCCACCAGTGACATCCAGGGCTCTTGGCCTGGAGAAGGGCCACATGCCCCCAGCTGTGCTGAGTGAAAGTATGGGTGGGGAGGGGGGGAGGCTCAGGCATCCAGTGCAGCAGGGTCTCCGGACGATGGGCTTAGGCCGGGGGTCGCGAGCCCCCAGGTGAGAGGAGCCGGCCTGGCTCCAGGCTGCATGTTCCCCGCCGCGCCTGCACCCAGGGCTCAGGCCCGTCTCTTGCAGCATCAAGAGCATTTTGCGGCCGGGGGGGCGGGGGGGGGAAGGGGAACTGTGCCTGTCTGTAGCAAGCGGTGGCCTTGCCGCCGCCTCCTCCTCTTCCTCCCTCCTCCCCGCGGAGCCGAGCTGCAGAGCGCTGAGGCTGGGGCCGCCCGTCTCGGCAGTGATTAGAGACGCTGGGGCAGCGGTTGCTGACCCGGTGGGAAATTCTCGGCGTGGGAGTCGGAGGGGGTGAAGGGGGGGTGTTATTTCAGGGCAAAGGCAAATGAAGTGTCGTGGGGGGTGATGTCAGCACACCGCTGGCCCCTGTCTCCTTTCCCGCCCCTGGGCTGGGCACTTTGCTGGCCGCCTTCCTGCCACCTCCCTGCAGCCGGGCGGGGGAGTCCAGGGGAGGAGGAGGAAGGCAGTTCCCAGCAGGAAGGAAGCGGGGTAGCAAGCCCATCTGGGGCCCCGGGGAAGGGTTCCAGTTTAGCCCTACCCCCTAGCATGGTGGAAATCTTAATTACTAGCCAGTGTCGTGCCCCGGGAACGAGGCTGGTTTCATCCTCCTAGCCCCCCGTGACCGAGTGCTGAGCCCAGGGCCTGCAACCTGGACCTTTGCTAAGCATGCAGAGCTGAGTCCGGGGGGCTCCCAAGGAGGTGTTTGTTCCCGTAGGTGAAGGGCCATGTGTCTCATTGACATCTGCTGTGTGTAGGGACCGTCGGGAAGGGGCTCCAGGGAGGCCGGCGTATGGGCCGCGAGGGGTCTGTTTTCCAGGCCAATGCAGCGCTGGTTCGGGGGGGGGGGGGGGGGGGGCAGGGGGCGGGCGG